TAAGGCCCTCTGCGCTTGTTATTTTATTAACTTTCATTTTGCCATGCACATTTCTTGCACACATTCAATTGAGTTTTCTTACGTTTTGCTTATATTATCATATTATTTTAAATACGTTTTTTTTGCAGTTATCCTTTCCCACCATTAACGTAATTTGCACACAAGTCTCCCATGGGTATCAGAGTTAACGTCAGATAATGTTAACCATTTTCTTAACAGTTTTTTATACTATTACAATATTTTTTTATAATGTCTCTGTGGATTTTCTGTTCAAGCTGAAAAGTGTGGAAAATATTCAGCTTTATTTGCCACATGCAATGGTAAGTAGTGAAGAGTTAAATTTGACATGAAAAGTTACGCAGGAATTTTGTGTACAGAGTCATTTATGTCGGACACATTATTCAACTGGGTAAATGAACACGCATAGATGAATGCAACATGTACTTAAATGACGGTCAATGTGGCCATGGCCTCCATATATTCAATGCATGTATGTATATATCTTTTGGTACTATCATATACTCGTATCAAATATAATAACATTACAATAGCAGAAGGTATACAAAAAAATTGCGTGCACTATATTTCAAAGTCAAACAAACAGTTACGTTTCTACAAATAGAGATATATTTCAGTTATAGATCAGTTAATAGCTTGCTTTGTATGTATCTCAAGCTTTTAGCGATATATTGGTTAACAGTACTTAACTTCTCTGCAGTCTTTCTTATAATTTTCTTATAATTATTGCGCATAATTTTCCAATAAAATATTTTTTTTATATTTCTAGCAATCAAGCAATAACTTTGAAATTCTAAAGCCAAACCAAATTACTTTATACAAAAATATCGCGTGGAAGACTGGCTGGATACTGGCTCTTCATCGGTCCCGCAATTAGTTGTGCAGATTGTGCAATAAAATTATATATATGGGAAGCAATTTTCATCATTCTTCTTTACTACACATTCTCTTAGGCTATCTTTATTTATACAATTCCGCCACTGTAGACTGTTAGCTTTGCAATGCCACGGAAGTAAACAGACAACTAAATTAAATAAAACAAGTAAGGAAGGGCTAAGTTCGGATGTAACCGAACATTTTATACTCTCGCAAAGTCAAATGGTATACTCGTTTGAGATTTCTTTGTGGATTGACTGATATTTTCGGTAGAAGGTCAACTATAGGCACTGGGGTCCACATATTTAGTACTTAGGGGCTTGAACAGTTTTGGTTCGATTTAGACAATTTTTGGTCACAAGGTGGCATACTTTAAACTTATAATTCACGCAAAGTTTTACCCCGATATAATCATTGTTGCTTGATATGCATAGTGGAAAGTGAAAGAATCAGATGGAATTGAAAATGGTGTTTCATGGGAAGTAGGCGTGGTTGTAGTCTGATTTCGCCCATTTTCGCACTATGACATAGAAACATAAAAAGAACGTTATGCACCGAATTTGGTTGAAATCGGTTGAGCAGATCTCAAGATATGGGGTTTCACCTAAAAGTGTGCTGTGCCACGCCCACTGACTAATTTTGAACGCGGTTCCTATAAAGCCAACTCATACCATCTCAGAGATAAAATTTAATGTCTCTGGCGTGTTTAGTGCTTGATTTATCGCGCTTTTAGTAGTTTTTAACAGTACCGTTATATGGGGAGTGGGCGGAGTTGCCACCCGATTTCAACTATTTTCACACCGTCAATAGAAGTGCTAAAAAAATTTGCTTCTAGTGAATTTTGTTATTATAGCATTAGCGGTTTAGGAGATATGCACATTAAACCTATTAAAGGCGGGACCACGCCCACTTTAAAAAAAAAATTTTAACTGCAGATGCCCCCACCTAATGTGATCCTGTGTACCAAATAACAGTATTGTATCTTATTGGGGAGCTTAGTTATACCAATTTATTTGTTTTTGATTAATGGCGATTTGTGGGCGTGGCAGCGGCCCGATTACGCCCATCTGCAATACCAACTGTCTCACGGTAGCAAGAAACATGTCTACCAAGTTTCATAAAGATATCTCAATTTTTACTCAAGTTAGAGCTTGCACGGACGGACGGACAGACAGTCACCCGGATTTCAACTCGTCTCTTCATCCTGATCATTTATATATATATAACCCTATATCTAACTCGATTAGTTTTAGGTGATACAAACAACCGTTAGGTGAACAAAACTATTATACTCTGTAGCAACAGGTTGCGAGAGTATAAAAAGGACAAAATGTGAACTATGTTGCAAGGTCATTGTTAAAGTGCTACATCAAGTTACTGTTAGCTTTTATACAATGCGATAAATTAGTTTCACTTTCTCGGCAAATAGTCTAACTAATTTCATAACAGAGAAAAGTTTTACAAGCAAGCACTTACAAGGAAATTGACTTAGAATGCAGTGAAGATGAAATGTATATATGCGCGTAAGAATGTAGGCAGTAAACTAACTACTGTTTCAGTACTAAATTTTTTCTCTGTTCTTGTTTAATATAAGAGTTTAACTCATAAATATCACTAATCTGCTTTTATATACCGATTATATGTTAGTTACGTATACGCAGTGTCGCATTGTATAAGCTATACCATATAAAGCTTACTGTTTTATGTCATTTAGTATATTAGTTTTGTATTTCAAATTTCTTGTAATTTACCATATAAACTAAATCTATTAGTGTTGCTGGCGCATAATAAGATTAAAATAATTTGGCATGCAGCTGCCCCAAAAACTAGTTTAGTAAGACGATCAACTGGTGGTTTTCACATACTAAACCTTCAAAGCAAATGCTGTCTCAGATAAAAAAAAATATCCTTAAAATGAATGGTCAAAGCTGCACGTTTTCTACAAATTCTGCTTAAAATAAACAAAGAACATTTTCACTCGCTTATTGACCCTTGCACCAAGCTCGACCTGCTAATTCTTTAGCGCGCAAGTGATTATAAATAAATCCTAATCCTAAACAAACAAACATTAAATGAAAACGTTTGCCAAATTCGAAGGAAAATTAATAATAGATTTTTAATTAATATTTAATGTTTAAGTAATCCATTAGGTTCAAACTTAATGGAAAACTTTGTTAGGTATATATTATAGAATATATGAATTTAATATTCCATAATCGTAGAAAGTAAACATTGCATTAGAGTGCTTTCTATAGAGACAACATGTTTAACAAATATTTATTTTCAATATAAAGTGGGATAATAGAAATAACTTAGTTTGCAACTCTTAATGACAATTTAAGCAAACTTACATTTCAGTAGAACAAACACACTTGAAGCTACTAAAATTTTATTTTTTATTCTATAAGCATGGAAAGGTCACGTTTATTTAGGATTATGGCATTAAGTTGGTATAAAAAAGTCGATTCGTATCGTCTGCATTATCACGAACGTGATGAAATTCATTTTACTTCTTGTTAATAAAATGAAATAACTGAAATTACCTAAAAACTAAAAGCCTGAAATAATTTTCAATAATTATTCCAATTATTTTTTTTTTTTAATTTTATGTAAAAAATTTAAAATTATGCCAAAAATAACTTCATATATGACATGAGCAAAATATTTTATATACATATATACAATATTGCAATATCTATCTCAATTAAACAAAAAAAAATGTTAAAAATGATAATTGCGGCTTTAGATAGAATACTATATAGCTACGTTCTCACTCCACGTATGAAGGAAAAGATTTTGAGCAATGTATATGCATACTTTTCATAATTTTAAAGAAAAGACTAAACGCAAATAAATTTCTAACTATTATATGTAAGCACCCTGTAGCATATCCTAGTTGACTATCAGCTGATTGAAGCCAGCTTCTATTGGTATAGAAATAAAAAAACTTTTCGACAAATACACACCGCTTATTTCATTCATAAAAATTAAGGAGGTGTTGGAAAATGCGCATGCGCTCTTCAGCAAAAAGACTCAGGTGCATAAGCATAATAGTAGTATAAATAGGAATCTAACCCACACGCATCCAATAAAAGCAAAAAACATCATGCAACTGTTGGTTGGTTAGTTGTTGTACAATTAGGATTTTAGACGCAGTTCAATGTTGCCAGTAACATGTTTATAAACAATGTATACACGTTTAAATACTACATAAACTAGAACTAACATTTAGCTACTTTTTTAGAAAAACTTCTACCATATAAAACAATTAAAATTTCTTTTTGAGAATACATGTTTAAAATGTACTTCAAGTAAGTGGCTAAGCAAAACCTAAATAAATATGTACCTCTGCTGCATGTTGTGATAGCAAATTTGTATGAAACAACAGATTTTTAAAGATTTTCATCAATTCTGAACAGCTCTATAGCATACGATAAAAAGCATATCACTGTCCATAGTTTTCATTTTGATGAGAATATATCATTAATTAAATGTTATCTGAAAACAATATTGCTTTTGAAAACAGTTTTCAAAAACAATAAAATTATTAATTACGAAATTTTGAGAATAAATTAATTCAAAGACATCAATTATTTAAATAAATTTTAGAAAACATTCGAATAGTTTTCAATGTGGCAAAAGTATTTCATTAAAATATGCAGGGTGTTAAGAAGTGTTGTGAGTTTTGTCTATAGTAAACTAACGAGTTACGATGCCGATAGTGAGCAAAAATATGAAAATATTTCAATTAACCTCCCATTTGCTGATAGGCAAAACGGTTGAAGGTGGCACGTCTACTCTACCTTTGTATTCACACTCAAAGCGGTTTGTAGTTTTTAGCGACTTAGTTATCCGAGTGAGATATTTTATAAGAAAAAAACTCAAATTAGGAATAAATAAAAGTGACCCACCGCTCACTTTACACAACCAATGTACAGTATGCTCTCTTTGACACGGTTCGAATCAGTAAGATGTGTAAACGTGGTCTTCGTAGTTGGCACTCAAGCGCTCTCTGTCCCAAAGGATGTGTGGGAATCATGCGCGTCCCAAAAAGACTCTTTAGCAATCGTAGTCGTTAGCTTAACTGTTTTTCCATTGCATTATTTAGTTTCTTTTCGTTTGTCTCACTAAGCGGATGTGCAAGGACTAGTCAACGGTAAAATTAAAATCACATAAATTAAAAACTCGCTGAAGTGGCTATTCACAGAAAAAAAAAACAAATTGCGCATATTCGACACTTTATGGCGCGCGTGTTGACATGACAATGTAAAAGTGAATATCCTAAAAGTTCTGTTACAGAAATGCTGAAAATTTGAATCTAAGTTAAAATAATATACTGAATTGTGAAAAAATAAATTTAAATAAAAAATTGTTGAAATAGATGTGTTTATGTGAATAAATGTTATATTTAAAATTACTAAATTTAGTGAATTTTAAAATTAATACTGTGAATTAAGCGAAAAAAATTAAATGCTTAAAATGTATAAAAATTAAATTCATTTTATAAAAAGTGTGTGCACCTGAAAACTGAATTAAAAGTTCTGCAGCATTGAATGCAGTTTTTAGGTAATAGCGATTTTTGATTAAAAAAAAAAAAAACCTAAGAAAAATAAATCCAAAATTAAAAAAAAATACTAGGGTTACACTTTCAATGAATTGTTTATTACTCAACGGAAGTTTTTAAAAACTTTTATTTTCTAATAATAATATGTGGATAAAAATACTTAAAAAATATTTTCTTCGTTGAAAATAATACAAAAATATTTTCTTTGTTGAAAATACATTAAAATTATATAAAATATTTCTTAAAAGTTTTTACCTATTTTGGCAAAATTGGTTGACTCAGTGAAAAAAAAACTAATGAAACTTTTATTACTCACCAGAGTTTTTAAAAGACTTATATTGTCAAATCATAATATTTTTTCTTGAAAATATAAACATTTTTGCAAAAAGGAATATTTCTTAAACATTTCTTATTTCTTATCATTTATGTGTTTACATTTCCCTTAGATTACACAAACTTTTTCGCTGTCGCTCTTTATTTATATTGGCGCGTTTGGCTTCTTTCCCGTTGGCAGTTGGTTTTCTTGTGTAATCAGTACTAACCGAAATGCGGGGCAGATGCAACAATTTTTGTTTAGAGATAAGCACAAACTTTCTACAACATGCCAACTGTGATGTGCATAAATGTACAAGTGTGTATTCGTAAAAACCTTGAAAAACTCGTCGTTAGCAATGGTATTAAGAAAAAATGATGCTAAGATAATGTTGATATAAAGATATTTGTATTCTCCAAAGGTTTTTCTAACACAAAAAATTTTATTGCCGCTCAGCTGTATAGACAAACACATTGTCTTATAATAAAATACAAAAAAAAAAAAAAAAATTTCATATCAAACATTATGTTGTCATCAAATTAGATTTAGTCTGATACACGTAAATTTAAATATATATACATATGCTCAGCTCCTTTCACGCTTCAGGTTTTATAGAAACTTTCTTTACATATAACTTATATTTTTATATAAATATAAACTTTCATAATCATTTAAATATTTTCGCCCACAAAAGTGGTTCTTCACATTACTCATGCAAGCCATAGCGCCCAGAAGTCTTAACATAAATTTAAATTATTTTCAAGCAATTCTGATGAACCAACAATAAAATGACGTGCCACAATGGCACTTAAAACACTTTGCAACTACTTATAAATTGCTTAAATCGTTGCACTAGTTATAGTTATACTAAAATGAAATGATTGGTGAGTGAAGAAGCTGCTGTGATGAAGATGATCGTAAAAATAAGGAAACAGTTTAAAAAACTAACGGAATATTAAAAGTAAATTTAAGAAACACAGCATTCAGTCCAGCTGACGAGACTAGCGTTTTTATAGCGGCAGGAAATGTCGACAAATTGTTGTTTGAGTGAAGTTGGCATTCTTTGCAGGCGATGGTATTTTTTGTATGTGCTAGTTTACAAAATAGTAAAAAAAATTTAAATTTCATATAAATATTTAATACATATACTTTATAATTCATTGACATAAGCTTCTTATTTCTTTTCAAAATATTCAAACCAAATGCATTTTATGCTACACGTGGGCGTCGCCCCGCCCTCCAAATTAGTAAGTGCACATATTTTCCAAACCACTGAAACTAACTCAACCAAACTTGCTCAGAGGAAGTATTTTCAGCATTTCATTGTACACTGTATAAATGGGTTAAATTAGATAGTAAACACGCCCATATAAGGGTTATGTTGAAAAATACTAAAAGTGCGATAAATCACGGAGTAAAAAAACCATAACCAGGAAAGCGCTTTTGGGGGAGACGGTGTAAAAACTGGACTATGGACTTGGCGACCCCCACTTTTCGGTGAAATACTCTAGCTCAGGAACTACTTAACCGAATTCAACTAAATTTGGTGTGTGCGGTTATCCATTTAGTACTATTGTACACTATGAAAGGGCGAAATCGGTTAACAATCACGACTTCTTTCCATAAAATAAACTTTAAATCTCTACCATCTGATTCTTTCACTTTTAACAAAAGTATCTAAATGAAACTATGCACAAATTGAGGGCACTATTTTAGCCATTTTATTCTAAGCCCAAAAAATATCGAAATCATACTATGAGTAGCTAAAATCGTATCTATACTTCTCTTCTCCCTCCTATACCTAATATAAATATTTTTGAACTTCCGGTTGACTTTATACCGCATTTATCGGTCGAAAAAATCTCTTCCTAATAATAGTGTACCTTTTTGCCTGTGATTGTAAATAATAGATGCAATACTTCTAATACCCGAACTTTGACCTTCTTTACTTGTGATATTTGCTATTATAAAGTGATATTTATGGGTTATTCCATTTAAATTTACATTCAAATATTTTTTTTGTGAAATTTTTTTTTTTTTGTGTTCTTTGGAACAAAATATTGAACACGAAAATTTTTATTTTCATACAATATAAAAAATGTTTGAAGGTATGAATTTTCAAAATTTGTACGATCGCAAAAATACCTTTAAGCATTTGCGGACACAATGAAAAGTATTTCATTATAAAAAACTACCAGCCGGCCTAATGTTTATGGTTTTTTTTCAGCTTTGCAATGTGAAATACGTTGAAATTATTCGACTTGTTTTTTATAAACGAAAGGTGCATTTTTATTAACAAATATTTTTATGTTCAGTATTTCTTAATTTTTAATGTACAGCTCATTTCTTAGATCTAACCGTATGCAAGCTATTATATAAATATAGCAGTTCATACAAGCTAACAAGCGACTTTTAATAGTGTGAGTAAAAACTGCATTTAAAATAATTTTTTTTAAGCTTTTTGTTTTAAATAACAGTATTTTAACAACCACAATAACTTGATATTTCAGTGTGTATTATATATGAATATGCAAATGCTAATAGAAGCCAGCTAACCAGTGAGTACATGCAAATTGGTTCTAATGATTTTAATTGCATCCACGTCACACAACTTCTTTCTCTACGCATGTACAGTGGGGCAGGGAATCGAAAAATAAATTCAAAAGCGGAAAATAACCAGAATTATAATCTAGTGCGCAGAAATCATGAATCGAACAAACAAAATATAACTAATGCCATTATCTCAAGATATTTTTGAAATGCTTCAAACAATATGAATATATATATTTATTTAATTTTAACTTGCTGTAATTATTTTTGAAATTTAATTAATTAAATTTTTTACGAACTAGTTTCTTTTTTACTTTTGTAGATGGGTTCAGGTTTATAGAGATACTGTGTATTTTCAATACTTATTCACATAGTTATAAACTCATATATTAATTTTTAATTCACTTAAAATTACTTTCTTGTTTCCTTTTTTCAATATCAAGTATCCACAGTACCTTTTATGCATCATCAAATTGTATATTTTAAATTATTACTTGTACTTTCGGCAACACGATACTTTAATAGCCTGCAACAATGACTTATAAAGCAAAATTTAATAGTAAAAATTTCATTCAGCGTTTGAAAAACGAAACTAAATTTCTTACTCATAACGAGAGGAGGTTTCCAACGTGAAGAAAAATAACATATTTTCTCCAGCAACAAACCATTATGCACGGTGCTGCAAATTTTCATTGAATTAAAGCTTATAAATGGTTCTTGCGAACCGCGTTTAGCTTGAATGATTTCCAATAATTTCTATGTCGGCCTTTTGCTCTCATTTGAACTTATGGAGCGTATTTAGATAATATAATACTCTTCAACATAATTTTCATAGACATACATACATACAAAAAAAGATCACTTTACTTGCGAAAGGAAACGAAGTCTATTAATAATAATAATATTATAAATAAGCAAGAATTTCTTCTTCTTATTATTGGTTACCCATGGCGTATACGTAACCTTGACAACTAACCGAGCTGAGTGTACATGAGCAGTTAACGAATCATAAGATATCTTTATAAGTTTTTTTTTAATGTACATTCATCTATCCACTTGTTTACAGTTGCACAAAGTTATATTTTTAGGAGATGAATTTTTTAGCGACAAAATTTGTGTTTATGTAAAGCTTTATTCAGTCGTAGGTGTCATTAAATTAGAAAGCGACAACTGGTGAATGTATTCAAATTGTTATTTGGATACAAATTTGAAGAGAATAGTTAATAAAAAAAACACAGGTACTTTTAATATTTCAATGAACTATTAGCATGCATATGTGTATATATTATATAAATGCGAATACCAAACACAATATGTACAGTGCGTATACGTAACTTCCTTTGCACGTTATAACCAAGCTAATGATTAATCTGAAATCTACTATACAATATGAATATGTCGAAAAAATATTAATTAATGGAACGTAGATAAAATATTGCACTGACTTTTAATTTAATAATTATTTGGTAAATTTGTATTCATTTAAAATATAAACAAAGACTACTGGCATATGTGAGAAGGAATTCAATTTGCTTTCATAATTAAATAACTGATTAATTACTTAATACAATTACTGAACAAATAGCGGGAGATATGAATTGTGTCATTTCCAGCTGGTTGCATGAGCAATTTAATGTAAAGATTTTTTTAATAAAATTTTATTTATTTTTTTAATATAAACATGTAATTTTTTATTGACCGCAACGCAGTGCCATAAAAGAAAAGTTTGCCAGCTATTTATAAAATTATGTCGGAAAAACGAATTAATAGATAAATTTAAGAAAGTAATGAGTTGAACTTATTTTATGTGGATGGTAACCAAACGCTTTGTACTTTTCTTTAAACATTTAGTTTCTATTGAACTAAACCCAAAAAACAAGATTAATTTTTCAGCTTTTGGATCGGTGCAGAACAGTTTAAACCCTATGTTTTTTCGATTAGACAATAGCGCTGCGCCATAGTGTATCGAGCCTTATCAAAATCACAGTCAATAACATTTTCAATCAAACCAATATTCATGTAAGACTTAAAGTCCCTGTGCAAATACACAAATCTATTAGTATTAGCACATGTGCAACACTTCATTTACTTGTCAATTATACTCACTGGAATTGCTTTTCCTTTAGTAGATATGTATGC